GCCGTACAACCGCGGTAGGTGTTCACATGAAGGTCTCAGCTAATCGAAGTCGCATTTTGTGATAACGTTCACTTGCATCATTCGTCAGAGCATATCGGTCAACTGTTTTTCTACCTCTTCTCTACTGTTAGTTTTTGAAACACGTTCATCACCAAGGATATATTGCATCTTACAGATGTAATCAGTCCTATCCATTAGAGCTATACCAGAACCTTTATCCGGCTTAGAGATAATTAACTTTGTTTAACCATAACTCCCTTTTAAGAATACCACTACTGGCTGGTCTGGCTTAAATGTATTCATGACAGCTGTTAACTAAGCTGGACAACATGTCACTGGCGAATTTGGTGACAAGTCTCGTGCCTGCGCTATTAAGCACTCGAACTGCACCTCAACTGCAGCCACGTCAACTTTACTACAAGGGATGCAAAACTTAAGGCCTAATAATAAAACATTTAGTTGTGTTGGGTTGATTGATACGTTTCCGTTGGAATTAAACATTCGAATCAATACGTTACCTATCCGGCACATTCAGTGGATAATTGCCATCATGTAAAGTTTGATTTTGATGAGAGTTACCGGAAAGAATTCCTTACTCAGAATCTGCTTCCTTTGATTAGTTTATGCTTCATTTTGGGTGATAGCTCTACTAGGTACAAACGGAAGGATTTGGAACTCGTGAACACCAGTGTTGCCTTAAGATCGGAACCAGATGCTATACAAGCGTTGCTGGATAAGCTTATGAAAGTTACATTATACTTCCAATCTGTAAGGTGTCTTCGCGTAGTGGAGCACAGCTACTTGCAGTGACCAATGTTTTCACTTTATTCCGTAGCTATATCATTAGTGGTGATCAGTCCACCACCGAATTTTCTGCACTTGTCGACAGGGTATAGGTGACTTTTCGAAGCCTCCACAGTCTGTCTAAATGGTGTGATAATGTTTACCTGTTGAATCGTTGCAGTGAACCACCATGCAATACAACCAGGTTTACTGCATGTCTCAGAAAGAGAACCATCGTTTACTGAAGCCATCTGATCGGTACACAGGATTGGTAAACGGAATTATATGGTGTGATGGTTGTAAGTTGAAAGGCTCAGTCAGCCATCACACGCCGGGAAAAGCACTAGATGTCTGCGCTGTATCACATCTCACAACTTAGTCATTTCGGTCTTTGCCGTCCCCAGGGACTCGTAACAGACGAGTTGCGAGTTCTAGCCTCGCAGTGGTCAGATGAAATGCATAATGCTGACGATTACCAAGAGGATATATATATATATATATATATATATATATATATCACACTTGCCCACTAAACATTTGGCAGAGTGCCACAACATGAGTAACAATAACAAAAAGGAGGAAGTGAAAGTCAGCTGAATGGATGGAAAGTTTCCTCTGCTGTGTGGGCATTGAGTTTCCCGGTTGCCCAGGCCGAGGAAGATGGTTGATTTAAAGGATCCCACTCCGAGCCTTTGGTCTTAAAGATCTGACCTGCAAAGCAGCGGGGTGATTCACGAAGACCGTTGACAGCCAAGTGGCTCATTCGCTTTCTTTGTGTTCGGAAGCAGTCCACAAACAGCCGGTGGCCAGCGAGGTTGTTCATCCGCCCTCAGTTAGATACTCACCCCCAGTTATAGGAGTGAATGGTCAATGACCCTATAGCCGGTCACCTTGGTTTTGACACAGCGCCGTACGAGCACTTGTGGCATTTAATGGAGAACCGGGTGACCAGCCCAGAACTCCCCACGCTCTGAGACGCTGCCACTGATTGTCCGCGACTGCTTATTCATTTCCCCTGCAAGGCAAATGAGACTTATTCGCAGTTACCTCCACAAAGAAGGCATTCCCCGATCCGCAACCTGGGGACTCGCGCGATAGCGTATAGCGAGGGAATACGTGATATAGACGAGTTGTGCACTAAGCAACCCACTTTGATATTACAACAATTCGAATATGGAAACTCGGACCCATTTGCTCAATTTATTCGTGGTATCTTTCTAATTCTCCGTTCCGCTGCGCCCTTTTATACACAAGGTATCAGTGAAGCTAAATTTGTGCACTACACGTCCTTCGTACGCAGCGAGCGACGATATCTTTGCTTTGTTGTGCCTCCTTGTTTCCACACATCATACTCATTGGTAATGCACCACACTCCCTTTTCAAAGTTTTCGCGACAGTCGACCTCCCACTTCTAGCTGATCCCATCAAGGTTCGGCGTAGGGGCGGTCGTTATCAATCTTTGAAGAAAACTTTGCATTTGGAGGGTCAAAGTACGCCCCGAAACGACTGATAGCCAGTGCCAACCTGTCCAATGCCGCCTGCCATGCTCGTGGGCTGCCGCAGATTAGGGTAATATAGTCACCTATAAGCAGATCCACAGCTTCCGAGTCGTGTTTAGTGAATGAAGTTTCCATGAATTTGTCAGTGGCAAAGTTATAAAGCAAAGATTACAGCAGGCATCTCTTTTTCACACTGCTAGAGATATTGAAGAGCAGTGACAGTTTACCATAATTAATTCCTCCGTCCGAACGACGCGGTTGTATGACATTTGAAGTGGTCCCAACCACAGTCGAGTTGCGGCTTTGAACCTCACAAGGGCCAGATGGAATGTGCACTGCTGACCATTCCCGAAAGGATGAAACGGCCGTACAATGCTTCTCCGGACATGTGATGATTGTCTGAGTAAGTCTAAATGTCGTGAATTCCAACTTACCCTTATTTCTGCTCTTTACACAGCCCTTTCCGTGTCTGAAAGAACTACCGAGTGGATGATGCTGAGTGTTGGAAGTTGCTCCCTGGGGACGGATCCTATGGGGCCACAGTAGATTATTCGTTGAGTTTGAGCCGTCTACCCCGGTTTGATCACATTCTTCTTATGCTCGACAGTCGCTTCCATGCATGTTTGCTGTCATTGCACTTGGATAGATGTGGCTTCGAATGGCCAGTAGATGACATGGCAGAAAAGTATCAAGAAATAGACTGGACGGTTTCATTGTGTTTGACCACGAGGGAATGCTGATAATTTTGCTCCGTTTCCGACAGAATAAGAAAACAAGTGTAGGGATATATGAAACCTTCATACTTTAGCAGTAAATGTGCAAATATCAGGTGTTTGTGATTCTAACGAATTATTCTTTTTTAGATAGAAGCTGTGTTGGCAGAGAGAGAAGCAAGTTTCACGTCGTTTGAGTTACGGACCGTCATGAAATTTTCGTTTCTCCAGAAATGTTACTCGAAGGAAATTCACAATATTATAAACACAGAGAGAAGTGTCCTTCCTAAGGCAGTGTCAAAATCTATATGTTTCAGGATTAGTCCTTTAAGCATCCAAGATGAACCTCGCAGAGACGGAACACTGCCGTCGAACCATTCGCCGGAACGGGATTAACCCGAACCACCCAGGTGGCACCACGAGGAGGTTGTTCGGCGAGTCGACCCATTCCTTTCATGCACTAATTTAGCGAAGAGTTATGACGGCATATCTGTATGGTGTTTTCTATATATTTTATTTGTTATTGTCATTTAAAGTGATTGACTGTTGCTTGATATCCTCGGTGTGGCTGCGCTTGCTGTGAATGTTGACAAGGTGCCTACCTGTATAACACCCTCCATCTCGATTACTGGCTCCAGGATACAGTTGGTCGTTGCTGGAGTGGACGGGGCGCACGGTCCTGGTGGCCGCGCTAGGCTCAAAAAGTGGTTCCATCCAGTGTGGAGCGGACTACGGCCCAGCCAACGCCTTGTGTATGCTTGATTCTCCAACTACCGCGTGCTTGTGTTTGCGTGTGAAGGAGTGTGGGCCGGCTCCGCTGATGAAGCGTGGCTCCCATCCACATGCCTTCTAGTCTTATTCCTTCGGGTTTACACCGGATATGGAATGTGTAGTTGAAGCTGTGGGTGGTGCAGCGCAAGCCACCTATGGTTCCTCTGTAGTCGCCGGCGTCCTGTGGCTGTTCACGTGGAGGCCACAGTGACAGAAAAATCCGGAACCGGATGACGCCAAACGTATGTGTATATGTGTCTAGCTGTATTGCTTGGGTTTGTATTTGCCGCTGCATTTTTGACTGTTTGATCGCGTCACCAATGTGAGAAGAGATGATTGACGTCCGTGGATTGGATATAGTTATTCGAATAAGCAAGGAGGCAAGAACTAGATTGTGGTGAGTCACAGCCACCACGTCGCACTGTTGTTAAACAGACATTTGTGACTTTTATAGTGAGAACACTTGCCAGGTGAAAACTTACCAAGTTCTGAAACACTGCCTCAGAACTATTTGCTGGAACGTGGTTAACCTGAACCACCCAGCTGTCACCACAGGGAGATTGTTTGGCTAACCAGCAAAATGGCCAAGCGATGACATGACATTTAGGGATAGTGGTCTCCTAGCCAACCGCTGATAGAGCGGTTCAGGCATTTGGCATCTACTGCAGTTCGAACCCGTATAACTGCTAGCTTCTCTATTTCAGCCCAGACACAGTCGCTAGTGTTCGCATGATAACGCACCACCGGTGCAGTACGCTAGTATGTTGGCCTTCGCTTATACTTTACATATGGTTCGCGATCGGCTATATTCATGCTTTGTTACCCTATCCAACGTGAGTATGTGATCGTACACATCGCACAGTTGGTGCTTCTGTCAACTATTCGCTCGGCAATCTTGTCTTTCTTTTGACTACTTCGCGTTTTCTTTTATTTTCTCCGAGACTTCTATGGTAACTGAACACATCGCGCCTCAATGATACTACGTCGTTTGCTTTGTTGAACTATACTGAACCGCCGGACTCCGGTGCTTTTGATCGATATGTACTTCGACCACTAAGTTAGCATTGTTTTTGTCACACTGATTCTGTTGTACATCGCCCTAGCGTCGTCCGGAGAAAGGATCTTCTCTACTCACGTTACCTCAAACGCGACACTGTTACTAATTACCCCGAATTATGTGTTCCGTAAGACGTTTGTCTATCTCATCGTACCATTTTTTCCATTATCTTTACAGCAACGTTTGCTATCCCACTTAGAACCAGTTCTGAGGCGCACACTTCAATTGAACGGTGATAGTCTCCTGAATGATTGGATATCCGCGGTTCCAACCAACTCTCATTACAGTACTGCAGGCTTCCAGCCGATAGGCGATTGTACTGTTTCTTACTCCAGTGGGACCGGGTGAGGACAAATATATTTTTCGCCAGGTATTCACATAGGAGATGTCTCCGAACCCTTCTTGAACTTTTTTTAAAAACAAGGACGTTCTATTCTCTACTGTTGCAGCTTGTTTGCGGTGCCGATGAGCCGTAATGTTGTGCGGATTGTAAGTTCTTTTGTTCTCTCAAAATCAGGACATACTACTAGCAGTTTGCCCTATGGAACTTCCACTTATGTCCTCTTCTATGCCACTCATTGACCAATAATCAGATCTCCTCGAGGCGTATTTGCCTCTACCATCGTAACAACAATATCCTTTTCTCGAATTGTGATTGCGTTGCGCCCACGTCTCCATACCCAATCTCACCATGACCGTCTGCCTGTCCGCGCTTACATTTAGTCTCCTCTGAGGAATCTGGCTGACTGTGGGTAGAGTTAGCTTGTTGAGCCCCCTATGTGTGTTGATCGCATGCGTCTACTTGTTTTCATTTACTGTGAAATAACTCGCTTGTACTAAGCCATAGAGTGGTTGAGCGGCAAATCATTCATTGAGTGGACCAACTGAGACGCACAATCTCATTGTATCATTTTCCGGAATTTAAGTCACGGGTTCGTCCTCATTAGCCAGGGGCACCATCTGCATTCGAACAGCTTTGGGTCTTGGAGTACCCAGTCTCTATCTAGGCCACAATCTGCTATGAAACTTTTACACCCAGCTCCTAATTATTCGATGTGACGATTTTTTACTATATCATCTGCATTTTCCGTCCTTTTCTCGCTTTTCGTGTTGTTTTCATTACCTCATTTTTTCGCCATGTTGGTGACATAGCATTTTGACGACTTAGCCCAACTTATGTTTGTCTCTTCTTCCGGTTAAAACGGTCACTTCCCTCGCGAACACCTGACATCAGCCAAATCAGAAGTCAACGAATTGACGCAAAAACATTGAGGAGCAGCTCGGTGAATGGTAAAAGTAATATGAACATCAACGCATATTTGTAGACAAATGTTGTTCAACTTCCGAAACAGCTAGCTTACCTGCGAGAAGTTGTAGGGTGTTACACTCAACCGAAATCAGAACAACAGTATTGTAAATGGAAGTTTAGTAGAAGTAAGGGCAATGGTACATCGGCAGTCCACACTGGGTAGACATCAACTGTTTGGTTTTTGCAGTCCACACGTTTTAGCTAAGCACACTGTTTTTGAACCAATCAATAAGCGTCACTGGTTTGTCGGGAGATGTGCACTCACGCACTAGCGCGCACAATGCGACTCCACAGGCTAGGTAGTGTAACATGACCTTGACGCGCTCAACCTCTGCATCAGGGTAGATTCACAATGACGGATGAAGGCATATGCGTTGCGTGACGGTCTTGAATGTACTTGAAACACCTTGCTGCTTCTACTAAGCCTTGATGGTTTAACTCGTTTTTTTACTTCAAGCTTTTCCTTGGAACGTTTTTACCCGGACAGTACATTCCTCCTAATAATAATGTATATTCTCGATTTTACGAGGCATGCCCTGTTCGGCATGATCATATTGTTACGATTGTTTCGCATAGTTTAATAGCATATTCCTTATTTCGGACAGAAATAAAATACGTTTTTTATCCGCCAGGGTTTTGCAGTTCAAAGCCTTGTTTGGACACAGAAAATATCATGATGTCCTAACGGAGATTTCCTTGTACGGACGGAACCGAGTTTTCATTTCCTTGGGCGAAGGATGAGAAGCAATTGTGATGATAGTAAAAGATTACAGCTTCAATCATACCATTTAAATAAAGCGTCTGATGTAGGTAAATCCTTTACTATACATTGTGGCGTTCTAAAAAGATTGGTGAAAGACGGGGGTATTTATTTACTTTCATTTCAGCAGCTGTACATATGGGCCGAGACAGATAGAATGGGAGATTTGTCTGTTGTGTGTGAGGTGAACATATTTGACACTTGTCAACTGGCACAGGTATTTGGATCTAACTGTACGCTAAGGGTAATCGTGTGAGAGGAAAAATAAGAGAGAATTTTTTGAAGTAGTGTTGATGTTGGAAGCAGAATCGGTTAGTTTCACCTCGATGCGCGACATGTTTACATGAGAGCAACATGGGAAGCATAGACGAGTAAGAAAAAAACGAATGGTAAAAGCGAATGAGGAGGGATAAATTCAGTCCGCATTTCCTTCTCAGCTCACACTTTTTGATACGGCTGCAAAGTACGCGTGGCTGAGTAAGCAGAATCTGAAGGAGTAGAGACAAAAATGGTTATCTCAATCTCAGTTCGCAATTCCTCTGAAGTCCACATTTTTGGTGTGTCTGTACATTCTGCTTTCTCGAGTAAATAAGGAAAGTGAGTCAGGAGAAGAAGAGTGGAGGGAGTTCTGGCTACGATAAGTCTTTTTTCCAATGCACCTTCAGGAGAGCTTGACCAAGTGAATGTAATGTATGTAGCACATTTCATGTATATTTGTTATCAGCGTACTTACGTCGCGGTTCTCTCCTCAAATAACACTTTTGCTACAGACGGTAATATCTACTTGCTGTCCGTCACACAAAAATGTGAAACTCGGCAAATTGTTGCCGTGATCACATGTACTGACACAATCTACTAAAACAATCCCGCAGATGATCCTGTTGACGGATTTGCCACAGTTTCTTTAGCGTGGTTTGCTTTAACGCTCCGCCTCCCGCCAAATGAAACGTCTCTTTATACTGCGTTGTTTTGTATTTCAAGTGCCTTGTCGAAGCCTAGAAGACTGCGTTTCAGCATGATCATACACTAGGCACCTTACACAGCTACTTATAACATTAGTTTTGGTCGGGTAACCGCTTAGTATCACGAAATTGTCACCCTGTTCCTCAGCGTCACCAGTTCAGATGTCACTCTAGTTTCAGGTTAGATGAATGCACAATTTGCTGGCCTGAGCCCCCATCACAGACTCAGCTAGTTGGCAATTGTGGATTTAACTACGAACTTTTATTGCAACTACGCTGAGCATCGGCTTTTTCTTAGCGGCATCGTTTTTGGCACAGTGCCAGTATGGGTCCTCTTATGTCGGGTCAGCCATTGACCGAAATAGAGTACATTGCCATAGGCTTTACTTGGCGCGCTTCCATCTGAGATTGCCACTGGTTTTGGAATACTGCCTCGACTGGATCATGTTCTTTCCTTAAACTTAACCGGGTGGCGTACCAATCGTCTCCCTCGATGGACAACTGAGAAATTATTCCAGTCCTTTATCAAGTAAGGCTGCCAGGATACTTTGCGTACTAAAATCTCACCCTCTTCTATTATTATATGCTTGCGACACTATCAGTCGTCACCATACTAGGCACTGTATACCCGACAGATCGATGGATGTTTAGGGATCCAGAAAGATTCCCTTTAAGCACCGAGCACAGTGTAACCAAGCGGACTATTAAGCGCGAATTCTTAACGGGCTAAAATGGCAATATAAATAGCGAAGACTGAAGGCAATTCTCGCAGGCTCTTCCAACTGATCTGCACGACTGGTTCCGGCGACCAATGCAACTGAGGCAGTCGGGAACAGTAATGGTGCTCCAATCCACAGTAAGGAACACTATCCAGCTCGTTGGGCGGACCCCTTTCGGGAGCAGTTTGGTTTTCAATTTGGCTCCTGAACCTCTTCTTGCTCATTCGGTCCAGGTCGAATCATGGTTGGTCAGCCTAGAAGCTTCATCCGTGACTGAGGTGGGAAATGCAGTCACACTTTAACGGTTTTCATTCTGCTGTTCCGGATTATCACACCGACGCTATTTAAAGACGTTTGTGAGATCTTCTGCAAAACACCGACTCGCTTATTCTCACAGGCATTGACGAGAGGTATCAGCGTCAACTGGAGTGAATGGATCATAGTGGTAGCTGCACTGACCCTGCTACTCATAGGTGTATTAGTCTGGCACAGCTAGTGACAAAATTACTGGCCTCGATTCTCTCGCTGCTTCAATGCAGGACGGGAATTCGGAATGACGGGGATAGTTTCAACCCACGGCAGGACTGTATGGACCATAGACTCACCCTGCTGCAGGTGTTAGAACGTCAGTGAGACAATCGGCTACAACGCGGATGCTCTGATTCACGATAAGGAGCGCTGTATGGCTCGTTTGGCGGAACACTTTCAAGATTAGTTCAGTTGTCCACCTGCTCCCGTATCTCTTCCCACAGGTGACGCAGGAAGAACCATGGACGCTTAGTTTAGAGCCTCCGTCGAAGGCTGAGGTCCGAAACGCGATCACAGCCCTCAATCATTTTCGTGCTGCTGGCCCGGATTTCCTCGCACGCACTATTTAAGGATGTAAGTGAGGTCCTCTGCAAACCACTGACCTCCTTGTTCGCACATGTATGGAAGGAGGAAACCGCCCTGTCTAACTGGAGTGAATCCATTGTAGTGGCGATATACGAGATGGGCAGTCGCACAGACTGTGCTAACCACAGGGGTATTAGTCTAACGCCCGTAGTGACAAAATAGCTAGCCTCAATTCTCGTTCGCTGTCTCACTGTGGAACGGGAATCTCGGAGTATGGAAGAGTAGGCGGGTTTCCGCCCTGGACGAGGCTGTATAGACCATAAATGCACAATACGTCTGGTGCTAGAGCAGCGCCACGCATACCGCAGATCGAAAATAGCGGTGTTCCTCAATTTCATGAGTGCGTTCGATTCAGTAGATCGATGCATTCTGTTCGAAGTACTTGTGCGGAAAGATGTTCCCATGAAATATGTGACCATTTTACGTGCTTTGTACTCGAATACGACAGCTCGTGTAACGGTCTACGATGACCTGTCAGATAGGTTTCCGACAACAAGTGACGTTCGTCAGGGTTGTCCGATTTCCCCATTTCCCCATTTCGTCGCGGACTGCTGCATCATGGCGTGTTCCCTTGCAGAATCTCATGATGCAGACGTCGAAGTGCTGTCTGGTGGAAGGCTAGTTGACCTTGATTATGCGGACGATATCATCTTGCTTTTTGACGATGTTTCGGTAGCACAATCAACCCTGTAGCCTCTCT